ACTGTCATTGAACTTATTTTTAGAATTTTTATTTAATCTAGTATTTCTACACAATTAATGCAATTATTTAGCTTCATGCTAAAAAGGCATTAATTTTCCTGTGATGTGTTTTTGATGACACTTATCCTCAGCTCACAGCAAATCTATTCCTTTTAAAGATACGTCAGAAGATCACAAATCGTATCTAGTTGAATAGATTGCTCTTAAAGATTGAAAAAATGTTATAATAAATAGTAAATATCACAAGATAAAAATACAATTTCAACATTTTTCCTGAAAATTTACATCTTTTCTTTTGATAATCACTTTTAACTCAAGAATTTATTCTCAAATTATTTAGCTTTGATGTGGATCTGAGAAGGTATTCATTTACCATGATATGTTTACATATAAATATTTTTTTTTGTGACTACCACTACTATTTCTCAACTCTTACCGAACAAATTTCTTTCAAAAACACATTTCTCTCAAAATTTAAAAACAATAGCTTGTTTTTTTATAAATGAAAGAAATTTTTCAAAAAATTATAAATTTTAAAATATAAATTTCAATATTTTTAAAGATTTTATTTTAATTGTCATAACTTTTTGAATAATAAACGAATTAAAATAAATTTTTTTTGTACAAACACCTTAGATGATTTCCTTTTATTTGATAAGTTTTATTTGAAAATTTGACCTTTAGCCTGTTCACAAGAAGAAGATTTAAAATAACAACTTTTGCAAAAATGTTAAGTTTTCAAGTTAAGTTTTGAAAATTTTCTATAAATGCTACGTTATTTAAACACATGTTAAACTTAAATTTATATTACGTACTATAATTAAAAAAAAATTGTCCCAACGACTTTTCTTCTATGTGCAAATTGCTGTCAAATTAAAAAAACATGTAATTTTTGTGTTAAAATTCTAGATTTTAAATTTCAAATATAAATTACTATAACTTTTTGAAAATATATGGAATCAATACAGGGTTTTTATAAATACTTTATACATATAAATTATATATATATATAAAGTATAAGTTTTTCATCTTAATTGTAAAATATTAATTTAGATGTTCCAGAAATACTGCGTCCTATATTTGCTAAATATATTAGCTTTTAATAAATACTTTAAGTATTTCTCTTTCATTTCGTATAAACATCTGACTCTTAACTTGCTCACTGGGAAAAAATTTAGCTACTAAATTAAAGTATCGTAATATAGAGTGATTTTTTTAATAGCCGCTCGATAGCTATTTTTACCAACTGGATTTCTCTTTAAATAATAATGTCATATATTTCTTGATTTATTAATTATAATAATTTTTTTTTATTTATCCTATATACCTTATACGGGTGTCAACTTTATTCTTTTTAATAGCAACATAGCCATAACATTGTAAAAAATTACAAGTTGATGACAACGTTTGACTAATTATTTCAGAAGTTATAGATATTTTAAAATATAGAATGGTGGGTTATCTTATTTTAATCATTACGCATTACTCTGTCACGCTCTTTCTCCTCTCTATGTTTGTTACTAATTTCTGAAGTGCTATTTCAAACATTGTTTTTGATCAGTCATTTTCATAATTAAATCATTTTCAAGGTGGTTAAATAGCTTAATCATCCTATAGGATGATTCTATCATTTGACGTAATATATAGACAAATTAATTGAAAAAAAAATTAAAACTAACCGAAGTATGGTGATTTTTTATACCAAAATAATATTTTTTGTTTAATTTCGGAGGTTGTTTCGATATAGAAGACAAACTGCATTTTAATTAAGTGTGATAATTAATAGAGAAATTAAACTGTATCCATTCAAGATATATTAATGCGTTAAATAATTAAATATAACTACTTGTCATTTACATGTGTGTAATATACAAAAAAATTGGTATGCAAATTATTTTGTTGCTTATTATGTAATTTTCAAATTATATTTCATATATGGTATAATAGTTTAACTTTTCACTTAATAATCCAAAAAAATGTGAGCAGTCAAGTGCAAATCATCACGATGGTTAAATTATGTTTTACAGTTATCCTAACTGCACTATAAAATGGTATTGTATTACAAATAATACTGTAACATGAATTTAATAAATAGATATTTTTAATTCCTACATACATTTTGTTGAAAAAACTGTATAAGACAAAGTTTCTAATAATGAAAATTAAAAATATATGCAAATGATAAATATGCTTAAATTTTGAAACAATAATTTCAATTTTATGACACTGGATGTCTAAAATTTTTCTTTATTGATTTATATATAATCTGTTCCTAAATTGAAACAATAAAAATACTAGCTTAAGTAAATAAAATATATTATGATTATCTGGTAAAAAATTAACAAGATTTATTATCATAATATGACTTAAATTTAAATAATCTATCATTTTTATTTAAATAAATAAATAAAAATTTTTTAATATATTTTCAATTTTATAAAAGAGCAATCTATTCATGTAGACTTGAAAATTTTGCTTATAAACAAAATTCATCATCTCAAATAAAAAAATTGAATTTTTTAGAAAAATAACAATAACTGATATTTTAATAACTAAAATATTGACAAGATAAATAACACAAATAATATTATAAGCAATAACAGTTAAAATATAAAGTAATATAAACTCAAAGGCGTGTCTATCATTTACTATCAAATTTATAGTAAGGGGTAAAACGAGAATGTCCCCATTTCACCTCAAAGTAGAGTACCCTAATTCACCCCAATGAGCGTACTTACTTTCGAACGTTGTTATAATTATAAATCGAATTTTAGTAATAAATTTGTGTCGGTATCTTTGTGAATTAATTGTATTAAAATAACCGTGTATGCTATAAAAGCTTTACGCGTTGTCTAACTCGCTTAAGAAAAAAAAAACATTCATATGTTATTTAATAATTTTATGACATATGTTATTGCTATGACTTATTATTTTAATAACTGAAAAGTATAATTGTTAAAAAAACTATTTTTTTAGATTAAATCGTGTATGAATAATTACCAGAAGTTATTATTCTTATAAACTACACTTACACGTACTATTAGTAAAATATACAAGTTGAGCAATTTTTGAGTAATTTCGAGTGTTACCGGAATACTGATGTGCATGGATTACTATTATATGTTCAAAAACTAAGAAGCTTCTAATTAATATATAGTAATATGTATCATAAAAAATTTAAGTTTTTGAGTTTTTCTAAAAAATTAGCATTGAAAGTAAAAAATAAAACTTTATAATATAAAACTTTTTTATAGACTGAAATTTAAATTTACCATGTTATTAGAAATATTTACATTTTAACCAGTATAACATTTTTTTTAACTTAGAATTAACGAAATATTTCTATTAAATTTCAAATTATACAATTTTTTTACATCAGTATGATAGTTATAATCTATAGAATATCAAATTTTTACTTTATTAGGTTAATAAATAATAGTATTTTACTATTGTTTAATGATTACATGCACATTGATAAAAATTAACAATCTGCGGAATTAAAATGAATGATTGAACGAAAGATTAACTAACGAAATATTGTTCAAAATACTTATGGTATTTATATGAGACTTTTTTTTTTTAATGTTTATACCTTTATATTCATATTAACTGTTTTAATAATTAATCCCGGTTAACTAACGGTTACTCTATTAAAATTTTGAGTCATAAACACAAAATAAGCATTTATTCAGTCAACTTGAACGCTTAATGCGAACCATAACAAGCGTAACTAATATTTGTATACGATGTTAAAAGTTTACAAATTATTCAATTTATATATGATTGCATAACTCAAATTATTATTATTTTTACCATAGTAAATATATTTATGTAGTTATCTAGTCATCTGATTTTGAAAGATTTTTTCTAATATTATGATAGCAATTGTAGATATAAATATTGTAAGTAAATTGTAAAATTAAAAAATACTGTGTGTTATTGTGGAAGTATTTCATACAGCTATATTGTCTAATTGCATTAACTCAAATATATTTAGTAGTTCTTTATAATGAATAAATAAAACAACCTGATTTTAATCTATTTCTACTTATTATCGTCAAAAATTAGAAAAAACACCTAAGCTTTAAAAATAAAAAAAAAATGTAACAAAATTGTTCTACCGTAAATAATTGCATTTTAAAAATATTTTTTTTTACATTTTTAAAATGCTATGTTTTAATAAATTGAATAATATAGAATTGGAAAAAAGTTAAATTTATTAATAATAGATTTTATTTTGTTGTGTTTATAAGTTTGTTTATTAAAAATGTCAATTTTTTATTGTTTTAGATTTGCGTTAAAAAATATATTGACTTCTTATGCCAGTTGGTTAGCGAATCCTTTAAAAAGACGTAGATTCATTATGCTTGGATTAATAGGTTGTATATTGCTATTTGTGCTTTGTCTTCAACACAATACTTCCGATGGAACTGAAAACTCAAATGGTTTACTTATGTCAAATTTTGAACAAGCAGAACTTCCTCGAGCAGCTGCAGTTTCAAGTGTTGTTAGAAAAATAAATGATGACGTTCAATTTGTTGAAGAACAGCCAGCACAAATTAGAATACAACAGCCTCAAATTAACGTTGTTTCTCAACAATTCCAACCTTATGTTCCGTCACATAGACTTATTCATTTGGATCTAAAAGGTGCACCTCCAAAGATATTATATTTACAAAAATTATTCCCGTTAATAAAAAAAATGGGGGGTACTGGCCTTTTAATTGAATGGGAAGATATGTTTCCTTGGAGTGGGGAATTATCCCAAATAGCTGCTGGAAATGCATATACTAGAGCAGAAGTTAAGGAAATTTTAAGGTTGGCTAAATTAAATAATTTGGACGTGATACCATTAATTCAAACTTTTGGTCATGTGGAATTTGCTTTAAAAACACCAGATTTTACCCACTTACGAGAGGTTCCAGAATCTCCTCAAGCGTTATGTCCATCATACAATGCATCAATAAAATTTGTAGAACAAATTATAGATCAAGTATTTATGAAACAACTTAAATAATTAATTTATTTATTAAACTTATCAACAATTTTTAGGTTATGGAGTTACACGGGAATATAAAATACTTGCATATTGGTTGCGATGAAGTGTTCCAAATAGGTGAATGTTTTAGGTGTAAATCAATAGCTAAGGAAGATTTATTTCTTTCACATGTTGTTAAAGTAGCAACCTATGTACGTACAAGATATCCGAGTACTATACCAATCATTTGGGATGATATGTTAAGACATTTATCAGTAAATTCAATGCAAATGTATAACATTGGAAAACTAGTTGAACCAATGGTAAAGCTTTTTATAATAAATATATGTTTTTTTTTAATTGTAAATTAAATTAATTTTTATTTTTTCAGATATGGGTTTACGCGGAAGATGTGTATAGATTTGTAATGCAAACCGTTTGGGAAAAATATCAGGCTGTATTTCCTCATGCATGGACATCTAGCGCATTTAAAGGAGCATTCGGAGAAACGCTATATGTTCCTAATGTCAAGCGACATTTGGAAAATAATTTAAATTGGTTACAGTTAATGAGTAATGAAGAAAGTCGATTCACTGGAGGATTTAAAGGAATTGTAATAACTGGATGGCAGAGGTATAAAAAAATGAGCCATAAACTATTAAAAATTTAAAAATGATTATTTTATTTAATAATTTAGATACGACCATTTTGCTGTATTATGTGAAACTCTTCCAGCATCAATACCATCTATGATTGTAAATTTAATGGCAGTATCTCATGGTTATATGAATCAATCTCTACAAGCGAAATTGAATGATGGTTTAAGTTGTGGTATATTTGGCAGCTCAAATGAATATGATGAAGATTTTTTAAGTTTAAAAATAGATCCTTACCTCTGGGAACAATTTTCTAGATGTTCTTTCCCTGGGTATCAGTTCTTTAGGTAACTAATATAATTAAAATTAAAACTTATGATTTTAATAATATATATATTTATTAATTATTTGACTAGGTTAACATATAGACTTCACTTAATTGAGGGAGAATACAATAAATTTATCGATGTAACAAAAAAAAAGCGAGGTTGGATGACTAATTATAATGTAGAGCGTGAATTTTCCACACCAATACGTGTTGACGAGCTCATGGAGGAATACGCTCACATTTATAGACCTTTATTGTCATTAGTTAAACCTATCCAAGAATCACTAACAGGTATTTTTGACAAATTCACGATATCTGAGTGGATCGAACAAAAAATTTATCCTATGGTAAAAGAACTTGAAAAAATACAAAAAGAGGCCCATGACCTAAAATTAAAAAAAACTTGGCCTAAAAGACCACTGCCAGTGTTAAAAGAATTAGCAAGAATTGGATTTTCTGACCATGATTCTCCTACAATTACATTAGATAAAATACGATAGTATAACTTTATATGATTTATTAAATTAAATTATGCATTACATTATCAAAAATTTAGATTTATAATGAGTTTGCAAACAGAAAATTAAGTAAAATTAAATTATAAATAAATAGAAGAACACACGGTAATAGTCGGAAAAGTTTCAGGGTTCTTGTTAAAATAAAATTTTTAAAAGGGTATTGAAACAAAAAAAAAAGTGATTGCTTATAGAATATGTTATTTTATGTCAAGTTCCAACTTTGTAAATATGTGCAATCTAGTAAATTAATTTTAATTTGTAAATATGTGATGACCAATTCATTAATTTGTATACTATTTGCGTTATATTTTTAAATTATTTATTATTTATGACATATTAACACTGTGGCATTGTAAAAATAAATCTTTTTAATAAATTTTACTATTATAGGTTGTATTTTATGTTGTGTATACATATAATAAATAATTTTTGAAATTTTTAATTATTAATTGTTGTACAATTATTGTGTGTTAAGGTACAATAATTAAAAATACAATTTTTTTTATTGTTTGAACTATTTATAAGTATCTACTATTTTTTGTTACCTTTCAGTTATATATTCTTGTGGATTTCTGTTTTAATTGTTTTCTTATTATTTATTTTAATTTAATGCTATGTAAATAGAAAGTCGTATTTATATATTATATTTTGTTACCTTTTCTCAGTTTTATTTTATAGTATTTACGAGTATTTCTTTGGAAAATTTCTCATGATTTCAATAATAATCTGTAAACTTTAAGTAACTAAAAATTTTTTTGTATTTTTAATGAATTATTTTGAAGATAAGATAAAATATTTTATCAACATTGAGAGTGTATCTTTATCATTACATATCCGTAATAATAAAGTACCAAAAAATATAAAAAACTTTGTTATTTTCCTATTATATTAACATGAAAAAAAATGTTTATTTTGGCGCCATTTCATTTAATTGTTTGTTTGATAATTTAATTAATATTGAGTTAATTAATAAAAATATCAAAATAATTATACATAACTAGATTAAGTATGATTTGTTATTCAAAAATTTTTTTATAAAAAAAAGTTTATACAAATGATTTAGTTGAATAAAATACAAATATTTTAGAAGTCAATTTTGTACTTAAAATTTTATTTTAGAATTAGTTTAAAGTTTTATTTGTATAATTTTTGCTTTACATCAGCTACATAGTAAACTTAATTGTTATTGATTCTTGATATTTTATATTCTTACAAATCACACCAAAGGTTAATTTGTACATCAAGTTATAATATGCAATAGTTTTAATACATAAATTATCTTTTTGAAATAAAAATACTCCCATTATTTTTCAAAGTAATATTTGTATGTATACCACAAAATATATTGTTGTATTATATTATGAATTTAATATATTGATGGCTTAATTTCAAACAGAGTGAAGTGCTTTGATAGCCTTTTTTCAATATTTTTAACACAATCTAGTGACTAACATTGAGTTTTTACATTTCAAATTTATACACAATAAATTTTACTTTAGAGTTAATGCAATTATAAAAATAACTAAAGTTCAACAAAAAGAAAATAACTCTTTTTTGCACTAAGCCATTAATATCATTATTCTATGTGATATTATGAATTATTTTAGTGAATTGTTTTAACTATTGTATATTAATTACACAAGTTTGAAGTTTTTTCTTGTAAATATATATAAAAATTTGTTATTTCAATTACATTTTATTTGTTAAGTGATGTGAATTTATTTTTTATTATTTTCTTACGTTGTGTAAATAAAATAATGTTTTTGGAATTAAAAAAATTATCGATGATACCTTTTTGATAGTTTATTTTTTAACCAATAGACAATATTTGATATAATCTTTATAGTCAATTTTTTCAATATAATTAAAGAAGCGAAATAATCAGAGTACAGTGATTGTCAAATAANTTAAAGAAGCGAAATAATCAGAATACAGTGATTGTCAAATAATTTTGCCATGGCAGGAGAAGAAAAACCTTTGTGATAAATATCATCATGGAAGATGTGCCCCCATACCACGAACTTTAATTTGCATTACTTCTTCTTCTTCTTCTTCTTTTTCTTTTTTCTTGTCTTAATTCCCTCTTCCCTCCACTTTAATTCGTATTACTATACCTGGATAAATTTATTTACGTATAAATAATAATCAAGACTTGAAAAAAATTCAAAGACTTAAAATTTAATTGTTGGATTAATAATTTTTTCATATCTGTTATTCTCGATAGCTTTTAAATTGAATCATATATAAAATTTTCAAAATAAAAAATATATTTGGTTAAAATGTTACAAAAATGAAAAAAATAATAATTTTCATTAAAAAATTTTTACAATTTAAACCTATTCTTAATATAAAAAACCCCGAACAGTTGGGTCGTTGCATAGGTTGGTTCAGTATAGATGCTATCTGACAATGATTAAAATCATTATCATAAAAATAGATTCGATTCAAATCTTTAGATAATGTTTAATTTTAAAAAATGGTGGATTATTTTAAAAGCAATATGATCCTGTTTATATCTCGATTACAAATTTTATATTTTACAAGTGTAATATATGTATAAATATTTATTATAGCAATGAAATATAGTATGTTATTNCAAAATAAAAAATATATTTGGTTAAAATGTTACAAAAATGAAAAAAATAATAATTTTCATTAAAAAAATTTTACAATTTTAACCTATTCTTAATATAAAAAAACCCCGAACAGTTGGGTCGTGGCATAGGTTGGTCCAGTATAGATGCTATCTGACAATGATTAAAATCATTATCATAAAAATAGATTCGATTCAAATCTGTAGATAATGTTTAATTTTAAAAAATGGTGGATTATTTTAAAAGCAAGATGATCTTGTTTATATCCTGATTACAAATTTTATATTTTACAAGTGTAATATATGTATAAATATTTATTATAGCACTGAAATATAGTATGTTATTGGTATTAAATAATTTAGTATTGTAATTTTTTCGAAAAAATAGTTATTACTTTCAAGACAAACTTATATAAAACATTTTTATTTTTATTTTATTTTTAACCATTTTATAATATTTTAGTATAATAATAATTGAACAAAAATTTAACAAAATATATTCAATAAAAAAATGTTGTTAAATTTGTTCAAATATTGTGGACCACTCTGTAAGACACTTTATACTGGTTGGAACAGATATAATTGTTATAACTTAACACAACATATGAATTACATAATATTTAAAAATTTTCTTTTTTAATCAATTTTTACAATGTATATTTAAAATATGTTGAAGTTATTTTACGCAATTACATGAAATATTAAAAATTTAATTTTTCATTAAAATTATTTTTAAGATTTGAAGATAGATAAGTTATACAGAAACATTTTTAACCAGAAGCTCTTATTTTAATTCAGTAGTTACATTTTTACAGCATTTTGAAGTTTGTTAAATTTTGATTTTTTTTAATCATGTACTGTTGCTAGTATTGCCAAATAAATAAAATAAAAATAAATATAGTTAGGATAATTGAAAAGTTTTCATACTTGTCTCAATCTATATCTTAGATATAGATATTAAAAATATCGGCAGTAATTATTTAGTTGTATAAAATAGAATAAATATATAGAATAAAAAGAGAAATAATGTGCAATCAAATATGACAATGAAATAATATTTGAGTTGATAGCTATAGTTATAACTATCTATTAAAATCCCAATTCATAAGAGTTGTTAGTAAAATCTAGATTATCCTACACATACATATGTAAGAGAAAGCGAGAGTAATTTGAATGCGATATACATTTATATTAAACTTACAATAGCTTTTTGATTTAGTCAAAATCTTTGATAAACAGCAATAATAGGCTATTAAATTTCATACTATATTGTTTTTAAAATAGAATAAAAATACTAATAATACAATGTTTTTTTTTCTTAATAAGGTAGAATGTTTAAAATATATATATATTTTCGAGGTTATGAGTATATCCATTTTATTAGTGAACAGTAGAGGATCCTGGGTGGTCTTAAGTGTCATGACCCCAATCAAAATACATGATAACTTATTTATTAGTATCTTCATAATTAAAAAAATTGCAAACTTTTTTATCTTCGATGCGAAGCTGAGAATGTATTGGTTTAATTCTCTTTTTTTTTTTTGTCTGTTACTACTTTTTTTCAGCTCTCACCGAACCGATTTCTTTAAACGATACGTCAAAAGATCACAAATCGTATCTAGTCGAATGCATTACCCTCAAAAATTGCAAAAATATCCCTCGTTCTACTTAAATGACGGAAATCTTTAAAAAAATTACAAATTTAAAAATTGCTAATTTTTGACATTTTTTCAATTTTTTTTCTAAAAACAGCCATTTTTTAAAAAATTACCAAATAAATATAATTTTTTTTATAGATGCATAAGGGATTTTTGATTACCTATCATTTGATATACTTTTTTTATAAATCTGATCTTTTACTTGTCCACAGAAAGGGATTCAAAATGACAACTTTTTCACAAAATATTAACTTTTTTAACTTAACTTTTGAAAGTGTTTCCGAAAACACTGACACATTTATATATATCTTAAATTAAAGCTAATGTAATATACTTGGTCATGGAAAAAAAAAATTTCGGACTTTATTTTGTCTTCACGGTCAAAATGGCTACCGAATGCTATTTTTGTATGAAAATTCTCGATTTTGTATTTTACATTTTTAACTTTATTATGCTATTAATTATACTTTATTATTGAAAAATGTATGGATCAATACAATTTTTTCATGAGAAGTAGTATTTATATACGTCTTTCATTCGACATACTTTAATCAGGATATAAATAAGAAAATATCAGATCATGTAGCTTTTGTAATAATCCATCAATTTTTTAAAATTAAACACTATCTAAAGATTTGCATTGAAGCATTTTTTTTTATGGTGATTTTAATCACTGTCATACTTACAAACTGTTATATTTGACCCAACTATGCCACGTTATCACTGTGCGTCGCGGCAGGAAAAAAACCCCTGTGCTGGGTTTTTCTTAGATACTCTTATTTTGAAATTCTAGTTTATGAAAAAAAAAATTGCGTCTTATGGTCAAATTAGACAACCACCATATAAACCGTATAAAAATTTTGTATAATCCTCATTTGTATATTAAAAGTTTTAATGTGAGAATTTATTCAATATATCTTTCTAAGAATTCAACTTAATTACATTAGTAAAAAAATTAATGTATATAATTTTAGATGATAAAATTAAGATATATATAAGTGTCAGATTTTCCGGAATAATTTCAAAAGTTCTATATGCATTTTTTAGATTTTAACGCCCTCTGTATTAATGAAAATGGTCCTACTAAAAAAAAAACTATGTCGAATAAAAGAATAATATAAATAGTACTTATTTAAAACAAATTATAATGATCCATAAGTTTTTCAAAAAGTTACAGCATAATAAAGTTAAAAATATTAATACATTCTCAACTTCGCATCGAAGCTAAAATAATAATTTATACTTCCTTTTAGTTTTGGATCTAAAATTTTACTTAATATTAATTAAATTAAATAAATAGTAGATAACTAAAAAAAAATTAAACAAACATTTTTTTTTTTCAATAATTTAATAATTTTATCAAATTTTATTATGTAATTATTAAATGTATTGTTAATAAATTGTAAACAAATGTTTTAAATGTTTAAAAATACTAAGTAGGTAAATTTGATAAAAAAGTTTTCTATAATAGTGATCAGTGGTTAAAATTGAATCAATTGAAGATTTCATAATAGAAAATTGATAAATGTGTTGTGCGTCATTAAGAAGTTCAGTTAATTAAACCAACAAAAATTTTATAACGGATATAAAGTGTATAGTGGATTCTCCCCTCTAACTTATGGTATAGGTATAGGTGATGTAAAACAGAATATTTAATCGTCTTTAGTGTAAATCACTTGTTTTAAATGTTTTATATTTATATAAATTTCAAGGTAGTGCAACGTTTCTTATCGTTGAACGATTATTTCTTTGCTTATTTGTTGATGTGGCTGGCTACGGATGTTTTCCGGATAGAAATTAAATTAATTTTTAAGATAAGTATTAGACAAAAATATTTTACAATGAATATTTATAATTTTTTAGTTTTCTTTATATTTCTTATTAATACCGTAATTTCTCAATCAAATAATGAAAATGGTAAGTTTTTTTATTATACATTCAATTAATTATACTTGATAAAATTTGTTTAATAACAACTACTTAAAATGTTTCTTTTACTTTGATGTAATGTACAAATACATGTTTGGTCTACTTACGGAAACTGTAATAGTTTGATAATAGTCGAATAGATAATAAAAAAAATTATTTTAAAAATCCACTTATAGTGTAAACTTTGAAATTAAAAAAAATTAGTATTTGACAAATATAATTAATATTCATATTTACTTGTTTGTACCTTAATTCCTTTTATACCGTCATAATACAAACATTTATATATAGCTGAAAATTTTTCAATGATTTTGAGACAATAATACTTAAAATATTTTCATATGGACTCATACAAAACATATTTCAATTATGATTATGAATTTTTATAAATGTAACATAATATTTATGTTATTTATATTTATAATATTAATATTGTACACCTTTGATATTTATTTCTTCAATTATTTTTTGCACAATTGATTAGATAACAAAACTTTTTTTTTTAAATATCTATAAAATGTGATTTTACACTTTTTCATTAAAAATTGAAATTATTGTAAAAACATAGTATTTAAAGTGTAATAAAATATTATAAATACATTATTTCTTG